ATTATGCTATAAATATTTAAAAGTTATTGGTATCGGAGCGCGATCTAGTGATTGGATTTAAATGATCTTACTACCATTAGAATCGCCTTATCGAGACGAATCAAATGGTAGTAAGATCATCCAAAACGGATCACTGGGTGCCGAGTTATTATTTATTAAAGTTTTTATATATAAATCGGCAAAAATTAAGGCTAATTCTGGCCAAATATTTTCGTAATACGAAATTAATTACGGAGTCCGAAATTAATTACGGAATACGGAGTTTTTCTAATGAATTACTTAATAATTACAGAATTACGTAATTACGTATTTCCGTAATACTAAAATAATTTCGGACACAAGTATAATCTTGAGATATTCCATATTTTTTATGACTTGAATATTTTTCAACCTATTAAAATTTAAAAATTATCATATTAAAAATAGTAAAAGTTTTATTTTGAATCAAAATTATGAAATTACCTCATAAGTAATATCTTGTGAATATTTTAAAACAACTTTTGATTTTAGTTTTCTTATATATTCCTTTTCATAAAGATATTTACAGTAATAAAAATCATTCTTCCATATTGCTGAATATATTTTAGTAAAATCATCAACCTTTATCTTTTTGATATTACTAAACTGTTTGTAAGGTATCCATTCAAATACTATATCAAATTTGTAAATTTTTAATAATTGCATTTTTTGGATTAAATAATCAATTTCATCATCATCATTTTTGCTGGTCCAGTTTGTAAAATTTAATTCTAAATTATCTGATTGACATTTTTTACACCATTCATATTCAATATCAAGTTCCATATATTCTTCACCACACCTAACACAATATAATTTATATCGAAAAACAATAATGTAGTATCTTGCATCCTGACTTTGAGATATACCATATATTGGATTATTATTATCTGATAAATATTTTTTAACCTATAAAATTGAATAAAAATACATTACATAAAAATATATGTTTAACAACTTAAGAAATTTTACTATACCTTATTTAAAAATTCATTAGTATTTTGTAAATAATATAATACTAAAAAAACTTTTTTATATGATTCTCTTGTCCACTTCTTATCGTAATAACATAATGGACCATTATTCCATATTGCTGAATATTGTGAAACATAACTATTTTTATTTATTTCTTTAATATCATTGAAGTGATTATATGGTATGAACTCAACTATTGTATCATGCACAGAGTTAATTTTTGATCGTTTTATTTGAATAAAATTATCAATTTTTTTATTTCCACTGGTCCAATTTATAAAAAACTTTTTCAAATAATTAATGCAACATAGTCTACACCAACTAAAATATGTATCTAAATACTTTTCATCACACTTATTGCATTTTTCATTATATTCATCTTGAAGAACTATAATGAAATCATTGGTATATGAATTTTGAGAAATACCAAAAATTTTACCATGATATTTATTTAAATCTTCTTTAAACTATTAGAGTAAAATAATTAATTATTAACGAATTAAAATTAAATTAGATAAAGATAATCTCATACCTTATTTAAAAATTCATTATTAATATTTCGAAAGCTATGTAACTTGAGGGTAACCTTTATGTCCTGTTTATTTCTTGTATATTTATTTTTAATTTTATCATAATTTAATGGGCCATCCTTCCATATTGCTGAATATTCTTTAATAAAAATTTTTTCTTTAATACTATTAAACTGATTGTACGGTATCCATTCAAATATAATGTCATCTGATTCGTTAATTTCTAATTGTATTTCTTGAATTAAACTATCAATTTTTTCATTTCCACTGGACCAGTTTGTAAAATTCTGTCTTAAGTTATTTATTTGACACGATAAGCACCACTCATAATTTGCATCAAATATACTTTCATATTGTTTATTACACTTTTTGCAATATATATTTGGAAAAATCATGATATACTCTTCCGTATATGGATTTTGTGATATTCCATATATATAATCGCAATAAATCTATTAAAATAAAAACAATCAATAAAGAATATTATTTTCAAATTAAACTTATAATTAAAGAATTAATACCTTATTTAAAAGATTAATAACATTTGGTGAATCATATAAATATTTTAAAGTAACCACTTTATTAGATTTTTTTGTCCATTTCTTCTCATTGTAATATAATGGGCCATCATTCCATTTTGCAGAATATAATGTATCAATATCATCTTCACTTATTTTATGGATATCACTTAATTGATCGTATGGTATCCATTCAAATATTATACGTGTATTATAATTGATATTTAATTGTAATTTTTGAATTAAATTATCAATTTTTTTCATTTCCACTGCCGACCAAATTTTCTTTAAAATAAACTATTTGACATGATTCACACCATTCTTTAATTATATTTGTATATTTTTTACCACATTTTTTACAATATATTTCTTGAAGAACAATAATATAATCCAGTGTATTTGGATATTGAGATATTCCATACATTCTAAGAAATTCAATATATGTTGTTGAATATTTTTTACCCTAATAGACGAAAAATAAAAAATATTATTAATAAAAGATGCAATAATTAGGGGTACGAAGAAATTTTATTATTACCTGATCTGGCTGATCAATAAAAAATTCATCAATGATATTTTTTAAGTTATATAATTTTAAAGCAACTCTCTTATTCGGCTGATTTCTTGTATATTCATTTTTATATTCATCATAATTTAATGGTCCATCTTTCCATATTGCTGAATATACTTTATCAAGACCTTCTTCATCTATTTCTTTAATATTATTAAATTGATCAAATGGTATCCATTCAAATATCACATCATCTAGTTCATTAATTTCTAATTGCATCTCTTGAATCAAATTATCAATTCTTTCATTATCACTGGTCCAATTTATAAAATTCTTTTTTAAATTATTTAATTGACATGATTTACACCATTTATACTTTGCATCATATTTATTCTCATATTTTTCGCCACATTTTGTACACTGATCATCGTTGTCTTGATATGACATTTATATAAAATTATTATCTTGAACAAAAAAATGTAAAGGTTAATGAAATGAGCTTATGATATAAAAGAAGAAAGAAAGAAAGAAGAAAAGGAACAAAGCCGATTTAAAAACTGTTTGTGTAGCTAAGTAGCTTACAAAATTGATGATCATATCCTGAAATGCATTAATGAAAATTAAAAATTGGGCGTATTTTTAGATTAGATTCAACATTTTTAATAACACAAATCCCAATTTGGACGCAAAAATTCTGATTAATTTTTTTCTTTTCGTAATAAAAGAAGGTGGCACAAAAATTCAAAAATTATTCAAGATGAAATGGAAATTTTTGATTTATCATTTTCTCTTTTTGCAAGAAAAAAAGTCCGTCTCACTTTCCATTTTTGATTTAATTTTTAAAATTTATCTTGATATATCAATATCTTTTATTCTTCTTTTTGCAAAAGAAAATTCTCAATATTTCACAACAGTTGTAACTATAATGATCAATTTTAAGGTGATGAGAGTCGTTCCTTATATGGTACTATTAGTAATTGTGGTGATGGAGATCAATGTTGGGATATTTTATTCATGGTTTACGCCTATGCTACAACTGGTAAGTTAATTAGTTTTGAAAAAAAGATACATCAATAATTTCAGATAAGCGAATAGTAAATTTATTATTTTTTGATTTGTTCAGGATCCAAACAAATATTAACTAGGAAAACAGAAACACGCTAAAGGTTTGTCGCAACTGAGATTAAGTTCAACTGAAAATTCGTCAAATTTTTGTTATACGATATTGTAAAAAAAAATATTATGGAGATTATACGCAGTAGTGATTTTTGTGGAAGGACGTTTTGCAGGGGATAGACAAAATTTACAATTTCGTTTCCTCCGTTTTGCTCTGAACAATAATACTTAGATACTTAAATAAAGAAATTGTTTAAAGCCCTTATTTAAATCTCTAACTATATTAAATCTATATTTAAAGATTGTAGTATTCTTCATACATCTTACTTAAAAGTTTACATTTGTGAACGTTATCTGAATTAAAATTGCGTATAGGAAACATTCACGTTTCAGTTTTATTATTAACATCAAAATTGAACATAATAATCAACGCTGCTATGATAAAAAGGCTTCTAGTTCCCCTCAATGATTTGTATTTTTTTACTCTTTTTAATAAGAATTGTGACGTTGCAACCTAATGAAATTCCTATTAAGAAGCGTAATTAGCACATTAAATTAGTGAGTGATGAAACTTTTTTTTTATATTACCATTTTTTTTTGGTATTAAACCAACTTTTTTTAAAAAAAAGAAAAATTTCCGCTTTAAAAGTTGTTTCGTTACCTTTTATTTAAATATTTGTTAATTTTGTATTATTCGCAAAAAAAAAACAACAAAACAAAAGACGCCAAATTTTATTATGGTGATAATTAATGCAATGAAGAATGAAAGTCAACAGTATATGTACGTAATCACTATCTTATTTTTTAACTCGAAATAGTACCAGAAAGATGGATATTTCAGAAAATAGGAACTAAAACTATAGATAATAGCATAACTTCAATTTTCTCATTTTCTCGCAATACTCGCATTAATAAACATTCTAAGTACGTGTATGGATACACAATTTCGTTAAAGTCCGTTATTAATATAATTTTTTATTCTTTCTACTATAATATATATACCTACAAAAAAAATCCAGAAATGTACTAGAAATTAGAATACAATTTCACGTGGAGATTATATGCGATTAAGTCACTGCCCATATGCCCATAAAAAAGGTATCCAGACTTTTCGTCGAAGTCCATTTCACCGAAACCCATTTCGCCGAAGTAATTTCGCCGAATGGATATTTCATCGAAGTGCCGTTTCGCCGAAGCCATTTCGGTGAAGGGCATTTTGTCGAAGATATGAAATTTTTTAATTTTCCTTTTCTTTTTTTTAGAGAAGACAAACGAATTTACTAAGTCGCGTTTGATTATTTTAATTAAAGAAAATTTGTTTTAATTGAAAAATTCATCGTGTTCATCAATTTTCGAAACAAGGGAAAATAAAATAGTTAAAGAAAATTTGTTCTTTGAACAATTTTTATTTTCTTTGTATCAAATTTATCTAAGGAAATATATTAATTAACAACATTTTCAGTGACTTCGATGAAATGGACGTTTCGGGGAAAAGGATTCTGCGAAATATCCATTTGACGAAATATCCATTTGACGAAATATCCATTCGGCTTCGGTGAAATATCCCTTCAGTGAAACTTCCTTTCAGCAAAATGGCTTCGGCGAAATGTACTGTAACCCCATAAAAAAATACATAATACGATATGAACGAAAAAAAGTTTTTTATTTTTCAATACTGCAACAAGTTTTTTAATATTGTTAATTTGATGATAACCTGGTCTCATTAAATTTTAGCTTACACACTAAATTTATCGTTTAAAATTAAGTTTACCAAATTATTGAAAGTTCCTTCTTAATATTCATCTTGCTTCGACTTCTTCAGCATGTCCACAAATACCAATTACTTGTTACCAATTATTAATACAACCTGAGAATTCTTCGATAATAGGGAATTATTTTCCATTTTTTTTTTGTTATGAAGTATTTGGAAGTTACGATTGAATGTTGTGTAGCACATTATTGGAACATGCAATATAATTACTGCTATTAATGGTATTAAAGTGCCTCAGAAGTCTCCGAAGTTATTGAAAAGTTTAATTATTTCGTTAATATTAATTATTAAGTAAAGAAAAGTAATGCACGATATATAATAACAACGATTTTGTTTTTACGCTCCAGTAAAAACATTAGAAACAATACAGAGGAATAGAAATAGGACATAAAACTAAGAATTTATACCCAGTTCTTGTAGCCCGGACCCCGGAACACGTAATTGGCATTGATTTCTAATAGTTTCTTTTACCATTCTGAATACTTGGTCTGTGATTAAAACCACGCCCTGCTTCAATTTTACACCATTAAAAGAATGGCAGGACATCGTTAATAAAATATCTTGTCGTTATTTTCTCTACGCTATGTATTATAATAATTTTATTTCTTTCATAATTATTCTTTCCTATCTTTCTGTCGCAATACGATATAATGAAATTTCAGCTAATTTTTGAGCGATTATTCATAAATTATTTTGAATTATAGGCAATCATACATCTTCCTAGTTTTTGGTAATGGAACGATCTATCCGTTTCTTCTTTAATTAGTTCTTTAATCAGGAAAGATAAATCAAGTATGTGATGGAGACGCACTTGTAGAACATAAAAGGATAAAGTAAAAAAAGTAGCATTAAAAACGTTACAACTTCAAAAGTACATACTGATATAACAAAGTACTGGAACGGTTATCTTAATAAAGGAAATGTGTTAAATTCTGGAGAGTTCCGAAGGTAGAGAATAATTTCAGAAGTTTCACTAATATACAACTTTGTTTTTCTTAAAAATGTTCCAACTGTAACCTATAGGAATGTATAACTTAAAAGGGTACATATATTACAAGGGATTAAATGGAGCAAATATTTAGATCGCGTTACAAAGCGGCCGTTTAATAATATCAGTGACAGGTATTACAGTATGCTGATTCATCATTTTTTTAAAAAAAATATCAGCTCGAAATATCAGTAAGAAAACTCAGCATAGTGTACCGCTAAACCCAAACTCTCAAACTCAGATGATGGTGTCACTGTGAACAATCATAAACATGTAATAATATTTCCTTATTTAAAATGAAGAGTATAACTTTGTAATTCTCAAAAATATATAAATACTTCCTCTCCTGTATTTTCTCGGCTTATCGCCTTTCCTTCTGCCAAACTTTTATAATATAGAAACCGCTTGTCACAGTGGGGAGTGTTCTGCGGGTTATCGACTACTGGTAAGTTAGTCGGTCTATCTTCGGCCACCTTCTGGGACAGGTATAATTTGTATTGTGTAAATTTTAAACGAAAGAAAAACACTTGAGTATGATCTTGGAAAAGCAACAATAGAAGCAGCACTCTTATTATTTGCCGGTAACACCATACCACCCGACAATACAGTGATATAAATTTTTTATTTTTTAAAAGGTGGCCTTATCCGCAGAGTGGGTCTTTAGTAATTGAGGGCTAGTCCTTGTGTCTAGTTTTCAGTGAAGTAAGGGGGCCCCGCATATGATAGATGTACATGTAACCATTTGTGACAAGCTTGCCTCCCTCTTAAAAAAAAATACTCTGCGCAGCCGCCTTGCTATGCTGTGTTGTTTGATTTGTTGTATTCTTTGTGTTGTTTAACAATATATACTTTCTCTTTCTTTCTATAGGTATCGTTTTGATGTTGTGGTTTATGCTGTTTTACCATTCATCTTTTGGTTCTTATGGCAATGATGAGATAAAGGACGCATCTTGCGATCTTATTGTATTTTTGTATTACAATATTTAAATTCTGAGCCATATCCAAAAATTTTATAAACATCAAAATGTTCCATTGAAGGTATATTTGATGAGAATACAATATATCAAATTATATGGCCAATCACTTTTTTTTTGTTATTTTAAGCACGTGACTTGAAACTTGAAAGTGACAAAAAAAAAGTTTCTCAGTTAAACAAGTTATTTGATTATTGAGGTTTATTTAAAATATTACCGTCAATTGAATATACAATAATATACTAATATGCACTTTTAATTTTATTTTATTTTTTTTTTTAAGATACCAATTTGAAAAAAATTGAATCGAATTAATATTTATTATTGATACACTATCGTAATTTTTTTAATCTTATTTTTTACATACTTTTTGAATAAATACTTTTTTTTGCGTCTACTAATCTTATCCTTTTTTGTTATTATTTTTTTTTTTTAAGAAATCAATAATTTTTTTCCAATCGAATTAATTTATTGATACAGTGGCCATATAATTAATCCTATTTTTACACATACTTTTTAAATAAATACTTTTTTTTTACGTCTACTATCCCACTCTTTTTTTATATTACTAAACGATAATTTTTAGCCAAGCATACTGGTCGGTTTAAATCCACTGGATAGCAAACTATTTAAACCACCACTCAGGTTTGCTTCTCGAACCTTCTTTGAAATTCCTTTTTGATGACGCACCTTAAATGCTTGATTATCAAGTATGTCAAGGTAATTAAACGCTTGACTACCAATAAAACCTGCTCTTGGTGCTTCAGATATACCATTTATCTAAAAGAAACAAAAATACATTGAATGTTAAAAGGTAGGAAGGTTCTCAAATCAATATATATATATATATATTAACTTACATTTGAGATTTTTTGATAGCCCTTTCCTCCTTCAATTTTTTTTGGAATAGTCCGTAGAACTTCTTTACCCTTTTCTTTGCCTTCAAGATTTTCAGGTTGAGCTACTTCTAACTTAGATTTTTCATTTCTGAATTTCATAATTAAATCGTTAACATTAAAATTCGCGAAAGAAACTATGGAAAAAGCATAAAGTTCTAATTCTTACTTCTTTTCGGTTGTCGGTTTCTTTAGATCTTCATCTGATGCAGCGTCTTGTTTTTTTGATTTAGGCTTCGCAATTTTTCGTGAGGTCATTGTGACCTTAGACTATAATAAAAGAAAAATAATAAATTAATTTGGTTAATACTTAATAAATATAAAAAACTATTTTTTATTAAAAAAAAAAATCTTTTTGTACATTATCTGAAACTAAAGATAACGTTTTTAAATCCTCAATTATATTATCATCAAACTAAGACACAAATATAATAAAACACATCACACAATATAGTTAATTAATTATTTGCGTTAGGATACGCGACGATAAAATTCAGTTATATTTACCTGCAATTCTATTGTTGATGTTAAATCATTGTCATCACAGACTTGTAATGATGGAAAAGTATCATTGTCACCTATATAAAGAAATTATAAATTAAATTGAATAGACTATTAAAACTTGAATGAAAGTTGATTTAATTCAAATAAAATTATTTTCAAAACTAAATACCTTCTTCTTCTTCGCTGCTTTCACTAGATGATGTGTCACTTGATGTAACCGTCATTGATAATAAAGGTAAAGGTTTATAATCATCGTCAAAAGAATCAATCCTTCTTCTTTTTGATGATGATTTTGTTGACAATTTGTTTGATCTAGGAGATTTAATTCCTAATGATCTTTCAATTTCAATTTCTTCAACAAAAGGATTATGAGAAGTCCAAACTATAAAATCACAAAAAAAAAGAAAGATAGATTGTTAATTTAATAATCACATATTAAATATATTAAACAAGAATTCATTTAAATTTTAAATACGACTTACTTTCGTCGTTAGATTCCTCAAACTTTTTTGTGAGTGGTTGAAAAAATACATCTAAATTATTCAAAGGATTTTTTGGTTGTCTTTCTTGTAATTCAGTAAAAGTATCCTCAACGTTATAATATTCTTCTTGAGAAAATTCTTTTGTACAAGGTTTGAAATAAGAAGCCAATCTATCCAAAGGATTCGATCCTTGAATTGAATCCATTACTCAATTGTTACACAGCAATAGAAAATTAAGAAACGATTACAATTATCGACTAGATCTTGGACTAAAATGAAATAATACAATTTTTATTTAATAAAATTTGGAGAAAAATAGATAACTTTTTTTTTATTTTAATAAGAACTATTAATTCAAATACTCGAATAAGTATAATGTTACAACGAAGAATTTAGAAAGAAATTTTTTTTTTTAATAAAATAATAGTAAACTAGTTATAATAAATAAATTTGTTTTTGTAACAAGAAATCATAGAGATCGTTTGCTCTGCTTGAGAGTTAGAGAATTAACTTCTCTAGGAAAAAAAAAAAATTTTTTTTTTTTTAGGATCAAAAAAAATATTGTTTGGTGTTACAAAATTAGCGCTCCACATAAAATGATTGGCGCATGGTCTCAAGTGAGGTCCAGTGATATGCATATGATGCATTCAACTTAATTAAATCAAGAAGGTAATCAGGATAAGGACATAAAAAGAAAAGAATATTTAAAATAAAAAAATTTTACAATATAGTCGAACTTTTCTAATGCATCAAACGATTCATAACGTAATAAAAGAAATATGATAATAATTACTAAATTATAACATCCGTCTGATTAAATACTTCTTTTTGACTTCAATTAAATTTGTGCTACATTTAAAATGCAACATACATGTGCGGAATGCCCCGATCCAAGCAAATGGCACAAACGTATAACTGATAAGTACACATACGTATAAAATGCGTAAAAATCACGTGAGATATACGAAATCATGTGATATTAAATTTACCAATGCTACATATCAAAAATTTCGGTTTTTTTCTATAAAAATGACTTTCTTTGAAATTAGAAATACTTTCTTCTCGAAACTACGAAATTACGAAATTACATATAATAATATTGTCATTTTACCAGAATTATGATCTAAATCCAAAGAAATTTAAGACACTGATAATAATCACCACGCTTTGTAGTATTTTTGAATTGATAATAAATGATAATAAATCATTAAATCAACTTCCAACATTATAAATCTTTTCTTTTTCGTATTTGATGTTATTAATGAAATTATATGACGGAAAAAATGTCTAATTTTTTTTTTCTCATTTTTTTCACATCACTAAGTAAATTTAGTTATGGCAATTTTTATAATATTTTAAGCTCATTTGTTTTTATTTAATAAAACCCATCATGTAATAGTTCTGATTTCCATATGAGCTATAATTTTCTATTTAAATAATTTTCAAGAGAAACTAAAATTAAATAACGTCTATGAGATTACTTTAATTGTATAAGTGAAAATAACATGCTATCTTATTAAGGATATTCCATACCCAAATCTTGTCTTACATGTCAATTTCGAACATCATTTCCTTAAAAGAGTCTAGTTATTCTAATCAGAGGGCTTATTATTTGTCTCGTGGCCGTGTAAGAATCGAAAAATACTCCGCCGCATTTAAAGGGTTTCAAAGCCTCAAATTTATAAATTACACGATATTTGATACGTGTTCAAAGTTAATGCATTTAATCAATCTTTTTTTTTTTTTTTTTTTTTTGTAACCGTAAAATCATTATCGTATAATCAATCGTATATACGACAATTGTGAAATTGCGAAATTCGTAGTTTCTTGAAAAAAAAAAACATTCCTTGAAAAGATTAATTAATTTAGTAAAATGTAATTAATTATAATGAATTTGATTGACTGAATGAATCATTTTTGTTGGAAAAAAAAAAGTCTTTCCTCAACGCAAAAAATGTTATCAAAACTAGCAGATATTTATACTAACGAAATGAATTAAACCATAATGAGAAAAATTCAATCCTAAATTTAAAAAGTTCTCACGATTTTCTCTTTTAAATAATGAAAACATTTGTTTCTATGAATAAATGAAAATCCAAAAATGTGAAAATCATAGAAAATCACTTAAACAGGTTCTTCCATGATTTTTACCTTATTTGGAATAAAATTTCATACTAGTACCACTGACGAAATAACTATGAAAAGATTATGAATATTATATATATAAAAGCCTCAGTCGGGTAAGCACAGCCCGTTTTTTTTTATTACAAAACCAGATATAAGGATCCCATTATAACATAAACTTTTACAATTTTTACAAAAAATTGATTTAATTCTTGTTCCATTAATATCCTTTAAAAAAGGAGAAATTTCTTTTCGCATGATTATTATTTAAAAAAAAAAATTAAAATCAACAATTACGAGTAAACAAGTGTATATAACTATATATAAATATGAAAAAACGAATATCAATTTTATTTTTAATTGCCATAGTTGTTTTCTTACAAGGTAAGGGAGAATTTATCTTAAAATGATTTCACATGACGCAGTAAATTAATTTTCATTATCAATAAGGCGGGGTATATGGTCAGTCATCAAAATGTGTGGACCATGGATTTTGTTTTAAAATAACTCCACCAGCAAGTGTTAATGATCCTGTAAGCTTATACACTTTTGAATTAGAAGCTCCAGCATCTATAGGGTAATTTAATATACCGTATTACGCTAATAATTTCTAAGGATTCTCAAATTAAATAACCTTTTCTATTATAGGTGGGTCGCACTTGGAGTTGGTCCATCTATGATTGGAAGTTACATAATAGTAAATATTATTTTTTTTCTCACTATAAAATAAAAAATCCTATTTATTCAAATCGTAATTCTATTTCTTTAGATGGCTTGGCCTTCAACGAATGGATCAGCTATAATTACCCAGCGTATTGCGGAACGATATAGTGTACCGAGAGTCACATCTCAACAAAGTGATCTTAGTTTAGATGCCACTTCCAGTGGTGTAAAAAATGGAAAATTCATTGCAAAATTCACTCGAGCAGTTTCGGTTGCTGGATCATCGATTGAATCAAGTGGACAAGATTTTGTTTGGGCCCTTCAGACAGAAGAAAGACCTCCAGATGATGCATCTACTCGTGACATTTTTATTCATAATAGTAAAGGTCGTTATACCTATGTCATGGATGCAAATGCCGTTGGAATTAGTAGTTTAAGCAGATATGACAAGTACATCTTGGCTCACGGAATTATAATGTTCGCTGTATGGGGTTTCTTGGTACCGGGTGCTGTTTTTATCGCAAGATTTACAAGAAATATTATTCCACAAAAATGGTTCAAACTTCATTGGGGAATTCAGCAATTCTTAGCATCTCCTTTAACTTTGATTGGATTGATATCGGCATACGTAGCGGGTGTGAGATTTCATGCTGCTAATACCCATCATTTTCTTGGAGTAGTTGTGTTTGGAGGTTTCATATTTCAACTTACTCTCGGATGGATTCATCATAAACTTTTTGATCCATCCAGAAAACATTTTCCATGGTGGACCAAACTTCACTGGTAGATGATATTTTTTTTTAAAAAGAAATATAAATATATCTATACTTAATATAATAACTATGTTACCAACTTTCTTTAGGTGGTGGGGACGCATATTGATTCTTTTGGCGTTTATACAAATTCTTTTGGGATTACAACAATATAATGCATCTCACGGAGTCTTCGTTGGATATTATATCTATGTTCTATTTATCCTGTCATCCTATGGAGGTATATCTTATTATTTATACAGGAGGAGGAAGCGCGATTTAGAGACGTTCGCCAAATCGGATGTCCTTTACACAGGAATACGTCAAGATGATGTAGAGCAACAGAGTTAAGTGGAATTTTATTATGATGTGTATATTAAAAGTGTATATTAATAGGAATATATATCATTGTATCATGTATTTTTAGTCTTTGTAATATATAATATCATTTGTAGTTTAAGAATATATCCTCATATTATCTAATTCATTTTCTCTCTTCATTTTATTCTAAAATCTCGCCAACCTTGTCGGAATTTTTTATTTTTTTTTCATAAATATAGGTCTTTTGATTACTTCTACGTAAACCAACAAAACTACTATACTCCATTATATTCAACACCTTCAGATCAATATAATATCAACGGTGGAAGTGCTAATTATTTCTTATATCAATTAAGATTTAATATGTTGGATAATTTAGGCATACAATATGAAGCTACTCTATTTTGTATTTTATTATTATTTGTTATACTTTTTATTGTAGGAATCTTTACATTAATTTACATGAATAGTGGTTTGTTATTCTCATAATTATTATCAAAAAAAAAAAAAAATTTAAAAAATTTTAGTTTTATTTATGGTCATATATATACATGTAATTCGAGTAGAAAATATTGGTCAGGGAAAGAAAATCCTCATTGTACATACACAACTATCAAAAGACTTATATTTTGAAAATAAAAAATTCCGTCACTTAAAAATGAAACGTAGATCAATCGCGCGAAAAATCGTGATGATGGATGTATGTAACACAAAATGATTAGATAAAATTAAGAAATTAAAATAAAAATTATCTTTTTTTTTTCTTTATATTTTTTTTTTAAAAAAACATGGAGTCTATGTTTGATAATCTACTTAGTTCAGTAGACGCAGTTGTTTATTCTATTTACTTTCCTCTTCCTACTTCAGATCAAATATCTTTTCTTCAAGAAATTAGCACTTTAATTCTTTCAGATTTAAACCAATATTTGAACGAATACATTTGGCAAAAAGATCCTTTTGAATTAAGAATAGCTAAAAATGAATCAGGTAAACGAATAATAGGAGGAATTTTTCATCTTTATCGTTTTCTTTATGTATTTTAAACTTTATTAAAATAGATCCTAGTTACCCTTTCTTACACGGAAAGACTAGATTCGGAGATTGTATTGATGATGAATGGTTTATCGTATTTTTGTTGAGACAAATATCATTAAAATATAAAGAGACAGTGATCAGGTATTTAGAATGTATGATGATTTAAGTTATTCATGAAAGAATTTGTTTTAATTATTTGTCAAAAAGATATTATGTTGTCAACCAATATTAATTCAAAAACTAATAAATAGATAAAATTTGGTAGTGTCTCAGATAATGATGGAGAATTCTTGTTGATTGAAGCTGCTAAACAGCTTCCATCTTGGTTAGATCCTAGTAACAGTGAAAATAGGGTGAATTAAAAAATTTTTGATTTTTTAGGTATATATATATATATATATATATATTTTTTTTAACAAAATTTTGATCTTCCAATTATTTAGGTGTTCATATATCAAAATGAACTGCATATAATTCCATTACCAAAAACTCCTGCTGAAATATTTAATATACCTGCTGGAAAATTATCAATTGATAAAGCAGTTGAACTGATACATAATGATAATATTAATACAAAGGCCAATGTTAATATACAACTAGCTGCTTTGGAGAAATCAAATGAGTTTCCGCAAAAGATCCAACAAAATATTCATCGTGCAAGATGTCATATTCCAAGAAAAATAGCACATGCATTATATCTAAATCCTCAACTTGTAGCTCCAGCTGTAGAAGCATTTTATACGAGAGATCCTATTGCATTGAAAGCATGTCAAAAAATGGAAAATTTCACTCCTTCTACATCCATAACTGTGACTGTGAAATTCACGAAAACTTTATACGCTCAAGCGATAAGTCAACAGTTTCATCCACCTAAACCATTTAAATTGCCTGCTAGCAATTCCAAAAAATTCAAAGCTGCTGAATTAGGAATGAAATTGGTAAGTTATAATGTTATTATCCGGAGCGTAGCGAAGGACCATTTAAAAACTTTATTTGTCTTTAGTGTCTAATATCCGGAGCGTAGCGAAGGACTATTTGAAACTTTATATGTCTTTAGTGTCTAACTTTTTTAATAATATTAGGCATGCGGGATGGAAATATTATGTACGGATAAACATTATACAAAGTCAGCAACAAAATTATCCGATATGAACGTTGAGGTAAAATTATTCAAAGAATGTTAACTATATTGTTTGTTATTTAAATTTTAAGATAAATTTATCTTCCTTAATATAGACATATCCGTTTAATGAGGATTCGGAATGGAAATTATTTCGTGATAAACTTGTGAAAAGAAATTATTTTCGTGGAGAAGTTGAAGGATCTAAAAAGTATAAACAGCTTGATAATATTGCTAAACAACAATATTTAATAACCAAAATGTAAGTTATTACGTTGAGATGACATAATATAACTATAATTATTAACTAAATTAATCATTTTAGGGACGAAGAAGCTAATAATAAATCAATATTTGAACAAATCAATCATTTGTTAAGCAAATCCATGATTCCTGATGAAGTTTTGACTGCAGATACAACCGAAGATGATGATTCATGGATAAATATTGATCATAAACAACTGGAAGAATTACTTAATGAAAGAGAGAGAGGCTACGGAGAAATCAAGAAAGAAGTAAGATAAATGTTTAACTTATATTTGTAAATATATAATATTATTAAAAGAGTTTATTTTAAATTTTTTTTTTTCTTCGTATAGTCTATGGACGAGCAAGTTGATCTGACAAATATGATCGACGCGTTTGAAAAGTTTATCGATTTCGAAGGAGCTGGAGTTGAAGGAGCTGAATTCCTAGAGTTCGTTTATTAAATATGAATGATTCCGTTATTGTTTAGCGTGCTCGAATTTAATATATTGACTTTATTCGTGTAGTGAACATATGTCGGATGATGATGATGATGATGATGATGACGATGACGATGACGATGATGAACCGGATGACATGCTGAATAATAATGATGTTCGTTTAGATCCGACTGAATTTTTGAATATTATGAAAAAAACTTTGGGTAATTTAATGAAAAAATTTTCTTTTAACTTAAAAAAATCTATATACTAACTCATTTTTATAGATATTTCTGAAGAAGAATATCGAAAATTAGCAACAAAAAAATTAAAACGAGAGCAAGAAAAGATGTCAAGTAAGTTCCTCTCCAAAGCAAATAAAAAAGAATTTTTTTTTAATTATATTAATATGTATTTTTGTTTTTAATTATATTAATATATATATATTTATATTTATTTATTTAATTAATATAATATGTATATTTCTTTTAATTATATTAGTATTTTTTTTATTTTTATTTTTAATTACATAAATGTATTTTTTTTTTAATTATATTAATATTTCTTTTCTTTTAAAAAAAAATAGAAAGTGATAAAATACCGATTATTGTGCAGGAAAATCAACAACAATCCACTCAATCCACTCAATCAACTGCACCTATATCAATTGAAGAGATGGACGAAGATTTAGACATGAATACATATATGCAAGCAATGGAAGCTGAACTTTCTGCTTCAAGAATTCCTGAATCATTTATACGTTCACCAAATGAAGCGATAGGTAAACAAGATGATGACAAGATTAAAGATGATCCGTCATCTAAAAAAGAGAAGGAAAGAGCAGCTGATTCAATTGATATGGAAAATGACGAAGAATCAGATGAATTGTATAAACCTGTTGATATTAATTTAAATCTCGTAAAGAATTTATTAGAAAGCTTTAAGTCTCAAGAAGGATTACCTGGACCTGTTAGTAATATTTACAACAGATTGGGAAATGTAATACCAAAAGATGAAGAAGATAAAAGTGACGAACAGTGATAAACAATAATGTGCAGCAATTAAATGAATAAACGGATGAGGTAAATTGACGAAAAAAAATTATTGGAAATAGTATAAAGAAGGGGTGGTGGTGTGAGCGTGATATGCTAAGTCATGCAATGATGTACGTTATGATGCGACCATAAAAAGGAATATGTGTGTACTCATAATAATTTTAGAAAGAGGTTCAAGATCTATTTTGAATACAAAGAGTTGAGTTATTTATTTATGATTTAAAATAAATCAAATCAAATAAAAATCATTACCTTCTAATACCTAAAATTATAAAGTTTTGTCTTTTTGTCTTTTGAAAATTTTTTAGCTATACAAAATTATTTACAAAAAGTAATAAAGACAACTTTAGATGCTAGAATTTAATGCTTTCGTAAAAAAACCTATAAAATTTGATTAACTGTTAATTGCACAAATTTTGCATTGATCATCATTAACGTAAATTTAATTAATTTTGCAAAACATTACATAAACAATTAATACAAATTTTAAAAACAAACAAATTTTACAAATAATAAATTTGTGGTCAATTATTATATAAGATAAGAGAATTACACCGCCAAGACTTACTCCGCTCACAAGGGAAATTTTGTTTAATTACAACACCAACGAAATAAGTGCACATTAATATTCATAAGTTGAAAGCTTCGCATACCACACAAGAAACCAATCGATTAAGATTTCACGAAATTTTTAATTGGTTATTACATTATTTACGAGATATTTTGAAAACATTAAATTTAGATTTAATCAATATAATGTATTAATTAACGATTTAATGTATTAATTAACGATTAATAGCGAAGTTGAAATCATAAAAAAAAAATTATCAAAAAAAAAAAATTGATTCAACTTCGAACACCCACTTTTTATTTATCCTACTTATAATAGACTATATTTTTACACAAAAAAAAATAACCTTAGTCTTTTTTTAGATAATTAACGAGTTTCAAGTTTCATAAAAATCATATTATGTAGATAAACATGAAATTCTCACATTCATCATTGACTGATTGATTGATATGATTTGATTAATTAATAATAATAATGTACCGCGTATCAATTTGCGGCTGCAACGCTGCAACGATAATTTTTAATTTGATGATCAGAAAATTTAATAATTTTTATTTGCACAACAAACAAAAATAATTTTTAAAATTTATGAATGGTCAGATAAATTTTTATCAGTTTAGTATACAAAATTTCAAATAAACATTAATAATTCCCGTATCCCAAATATAATAATGACAATTGATGCAATGCTTCACAAAAAACATGGTACTAACTTTTTTTCCCCAATCCTCATCAGCGAATACTTGCGCAGAATTCCTATTATACCTATTTTTGGTAAAAGTTTAGTAACATTCAAGCAATGAGATTAAATTCCGTAAAACAAAAATAAAAGTTTGATAATTAAAATTAATGTTTATCTTTAGCATAAAATTAAAAATTCGATGCAGTGATAAAAATTATAAAAGGTCATTAACTGGGCAATCTCAAATTTTTTTTCAACAATAAAAAAAAAATGAAATTCCAATCTACTCTTATCCTTGTCGCTCTTTGCATCCTCTCTACCTTCTCTGCTTCTGTAACTGAAGCTAAACAATGCTTTCAAAAACAAAACGCTAGAGAAGCTACATTACTTAATAAAAAATTTGACAAACTTAACAAAAACTCCCCATGCAAAACTGGTGAGACTGTTTGTATTAAAGGACAAGTCGCCCAATGTGATCAAGGAAAATTTGTTCTCACTTCTTGTGGTCCTACAACAGAATGTTTTGCACTTCCACTCGTAAATAGTCCCGGTACTAGCATAGCTTGTGACAAAAGCGAAGATGCTGCTAATCGTATCAAACTTGCTCGCCAATGTAAGTGTCTTATCTTTATCCCATAGGTATTATGTATACACCGACGGATTTTTTTGTCAATTACTCCACTGGATTAAAAAAAAGTATAAACAAGTATAAAATCCATCGGCGTATACGTCATACACAATGAGATAAGTCTGTTATTTCATGGATATCTAATAAATACTCCATATACACCGGCCCCCAAGGCATCGGTGAATATTTTAGTTATTCATTGATACCCATGGAATAGCACGTATTTATTCTACAATATACAAATAAACTTTTATACTAAATGTATTTAATTTTCTTTTTTAACATATTTTAGGTCGAGGAAAAACCGGTTAATCAAAAAGCAAACGATAAATTTTATTATCCGAGATAATTAGATAATTTGAATAAATTATTTTGCTTTTCCTTTTTTTTTTCCTTAAATTTATTTTGCTTTTCTTCTTTTTTTTCCTTAAATTTATTTTAGCTTCTATTAGCATTTGTTTTAGACTTAAACCTGTTTCATTTTTTTTTTTCTTTTAGCATTCAGAAATACGAGAAAATTACACTCTTTTTTTTTTTTTTTTTTTTTNGTAGAAAAAGACAGAAAGGTTATATGAAAGGTTGTTAATTTAGAAATTTTACACTCTTTATTGTTATCCAAACTGTCATCTTTCCTTTGTTTTTTTTTTTTTTTTTTTTTATTAGAGATAAAGAAAAAAAATTTTTTATATTTCTCATTTTCATCATCCTTTTCGTATCAATAAAAATACGAAAAAACTTTTACATTCTTTTTATTAGAAATCTTCATATTTATACTAATAGATATCAATAAACATGACAGAGATTATTCATCATTGATAATCTTTGCCTCTTTTTATATAAAAAATTTTTTTTTTGAAATTATAAAAATTTTAATAATTATTATCAGCTAAAATATCCAAAATTTTAAAAAGAGTGACATATTTCGAATTTGATCAAAAATAGATCTTAACCTTTTACCCGTTCACTTTTCCAGGGGGAAAGTCCTCGATTCCATTATACTAGTAGGGACAATCAATGGAAGTTCCAATTCACGAATCCGGACAGCCCCTTCAAGGGAGAATATCCAAAGATTGCCCATTCTTACTGGCACATGGTCGCAAAACAACCTCGGTGATGTTCAGCGCATCAACACGAATGGGTTCGTTCAAGAGAAGCATTCAGACAAGCACTTATTACTTGCCCAGATGATGCATCCACAACTCTAAAGGCTTTCAAGTTTGAGACCTCAGGATACTGCTGCGTGAAGAACGCTAACTAGGTTATTTTATTTTTTCTGGACTAGTGAGCTGACAGTGTAATTGAACAGACCTGTGGAATATATAATCCAATGATCATAAATTAAGACGAGTAGATTAATTGTTCGTATTCAATACTTTATTTTAAAATAATCCTTGATCTCCAAAACCAAAAATTTAAAAATGAATAAAAATTAATTTTGACCAAAATTTACAATAATTCCGGCCATGTTTTTTTTAAAAAATCATACCGTTCTTAACTGTTAAGCTAAAATCGTTAATGACAATTTAGATCATATGACGATATCCAGTTACGCGCGTCACGTTAAAATTTTTAAATTTTTCCAATTTTTCTAAACATATTGAAATTGAACTAATTCTCAAAAATAAAAATTAACCAAGGATTTCACTTTAGTTTATATATAATAGCAGATAATAATTTCCATTTATTAGTTTAATCACCTTAAATTAGAGGTGCAAACTTTACCGACGTAACTTCCGTAACAAAGTTACGTCAATAACGTCACTGCAGATGCATTTTATAATAATTTATATAATATCGAGCTACGTCACAAGTTACAACCTTTCGTTGACTTAATGAGTGACGTATCTAACAAAAAAGAAAAAGTATGCACCACTACCTTAAATCATATTCACGAAATCAGTTAAGAATGGGAATTTGTCATAAATTAAGAATTTAATTGACGAGTTAAATTAAAATTAAATTGAAAACTTATATTTAGATAGATAGCCCTATTAAATTTATCACGTTACCGACTTAGCGATGCATTACATAATTTTTTTTAAATAAATAAATAAATAAATAAAAATGTCTTTTCTCTCTCACTTTTTTTTTGTTATCCAAAGTGAAAATAAGTGAAAATAAGTGCAAACTATGTGGGAAATCATTTAAAAAAAATTATACAACACAAATCTTATCTTTAACGAAAACATGGCAATGGTATTACAAAATAGCTTATTCTAATTAAACCAATATTCTTTGTATTTTAATTTTCAGATAACAATGTGATACAATGTGATACAACCGAAATTTTTCGGATAAAGAACTTGGACACATTTTTCTTTTATAGATCCTATCATTTAAACACTATCATCATTTTTAAAAATTTGTTTAACCGTATTTTATAAGTCCTATCATTTATATCTGTTTAATTTATATTTGTTTTGTTTAATCATAGAACTTATACAATTAAATTATATTAAACTTATCAATTGAATCATATAAAACTTATCAATTTAATCATATTATAGAACTTATCAATTATTATAGATCGATGTGAAAATTACCAAAGCTGTTAGGAGGCGTAAAAAAAAAAAAGATATCATTGTATTTTATAAATGATATACGAAATTACTATTCCTAGCAATCCTAATAACCTAAATTTTTTCACCAAAAAACTTTGTTTACCTATCGTTGTTGATCTTACCATATTATTTCTTCAAATTTTTTTTTGATCTCATTTCGACTCAATTATGAATTTGAATCAAAAATTTTGTGATCAGTGTTGACTGACATGATTGTACGTTCGGCCAAAATAATTTGAGTAAAGAATTAATAAATAATAATATCATAATTGACGAGTACAAATCATGGATTGGATTCAGAGAAATAAATACATCACATAATAATTAATAATAGAAATAACGATACAATAAACCATATCACATAATAATTAATAATAATTAATAATAATAAGAAAACATGATAAATAACGATACAATAAACCATATTTAGAAATCAATTAATCACAAATGGGGGATTATTTATCAAAGAATTAAATTTAAACGAAAAACTTTAAATTTTCTGTACTTTTTCTTTTTCACGGAATACTATGAAAAGAAATCCGAAAATACCGAAAATTTGGGGTGTTTTTTTTTTATTAATAGAAAATAAATGTTACGGATAAAAGAAATTTCATCATCGATTTTTCTACAAAAATATTCTAAACTTAATAAGAATAGTAGTGAAACACAAATAAACTACTCGAATTGAATCAATACTACTTCTCTCTAATCAGATAAAAAGAAATTTCAAATGTGACACGACAGAAATTTTTTTCGTGGTAAAAAACTTAAAATTCTATCATAAGAACATAATATTTATAATGTAAATTCATTGATTTGAGAGGCGTTTAAAGATGTAAAGGATAAATTAAAATATTTTTCACACGAATGCACGACCATTTTCTTGTAAACAATAATTATAATTTGTTGTTTATCATTGAGTATTATATTAAAATATTTTTAATCAAATATGATGAAGATCTTGCCATTTAATTTATACAGTATTTTTTTCAAATTCTTTGAAAAACTTTTTCCTTCACTCCGAAAAAGAGCGATCACACATTTTGAATTTGTGTAGATCTTTCGATTTCGATTAAATTGACTGGATATTATATAAAAACTATTATAAAGACTATGATGCATAGAGCTAATAGTAATGAGCCGATCTCATTCGGGTCCTAATATCATATCATGGGCTAAATTGCACATGAACAGTAATCAATAACCATATTCATGAAATCAATTAATCATGAATGGAAATTGTTTATCAATCAAAAGTTAAATTGACGAGTTAAAATTGAAAACCTAAAATTTGTACGATGTCACGAGACATTCATACTATGGTGAGAAATCGATAAGTCCATTTTTAGAAAAAAAGAATAATAAATAAAATAAAGTAAAAAACTTTAAAAAACTTTTTCATTATTTCAATTGGTTTATTAAAAAACTTTTATTTATTAACTAAAATAAAAATAGTAATGAATTACTATTTCAAGTTGAAATACTCCTTTTATTATAGATAACGATATATTATTTAAACTGTTAATGTGATACAACAGAAATTTTTTTGGGTAAAAGAACTCGATCATATCGAATCATTTTTAACGTAAATAATTATTATGTAAAAGTTCACAAGGCGCAATACTATTGTATTCTACACATGGTACAAGAGAATACCATTCTTAGTAGTAACCCGAAATTTTCAAAAAAATCCCGAGACCGAAACTTTTAAGTTTTTCCGAGTATTTTAATAAAATGGTTAATGTTAATATATTCTTTACCGCATACATTAAAATATTATACCATACAATATATTGTAAATCAAAACCCAAAAATATAACAATTAATAATTAGGATCAAAAATATTTGCTCGCGTGACTGATTATAACCAATGAAATATGCGAGTGTCACTCACGGAAAAATTTTATTATTATTGCTAACTCAAAAAAGAAATATCATGACGCATACTCATATTTACTTATTGAGAAATCCCTTTGCAAAATAAATTCATTCCCATTACCAAGAGAAAATATTAGGGAGTAAAAAAAAAAATTTGTATTTGATTATTTTGGTCTTGAATTTTTAATTTTCTAAATATGTTATTATGAATAATGATGATTAGTTTGATTATCTTTGAATCTAATCTTTTAAACATAACAACAAATAAAAAATAACGATTTTTTTAACTCTGAATGCGTTTAAAATCACGAATCACGTGAAATTTAATTTTATTAAAAATTTTTTTTGGAATTTTTTTTTTTTTTTTTTTTACAAATAAAGTATTTTA